TCATTTATGTCAATTTTAAAATAAAAATCTAGAACGTCCAAAACTTGTCATCGAAGGACAGTAAAAATCATGGGCGGTACCAGGAATTTTGAAAGGGGGGTTCAGGGAGTTTCTTTTTTAGTTCTGCTACAATTCCATAATGCAAAAGTAAAATTTTTCTTCACTCTATCAGAAAGCTTTGATTTTCCTACAATACTCTGTACTGTCTTTTTTCTTGGGCTGACATCAGTGCCATTCATTTCATTTGCTCCGAGATCCTTTTTATTCAAAATTGTTTGAAGACGCTTTCTGTATCTCTGTCAGTTTCTTTTGGTTTTGAAACTGAAATAGTACTTTTGACAGCTGTCTGTATGCCTTTGCTCTGTCTCTCCTAACCCTTTTCCGGCTAACTGTTCTTCTTCCATCTGCCCCTGAGTAAGTTTTTCATTACAGGCTGGGGATGCTGGTGGTGAATTCATTGAAAGAAATGATGACGATGATAGGCCTTTCTCCATTGTTTTCTCGGATTCTTCTTTTCATAGTTGGTCATTTCATCTATCATCTTTACTTTCTTTGCTTCTTTCAGTTCATGCCATCGTTTCCTTTCTTTGTCTTTATATTGAGCAAGTGTCTCTGGATTTTCCTCTGTTTCTATCTATATCTCCTCATTCTCTCCTTTGCTGTTAGTGCCATGTCTCAGAAGCAAATGGACCATCCACAAATGCCACACAAATATCGGTCGAACTCCAAATCGTTCACATCAATATTTTCCCGAAATATTGCCTGCACATTCCAGATGATATTGTCGTCTACATGCCGAACAAAAAAAGCCATAAGGAACCATCACTGTCAGTAAGAACTGTTTTGTCGGTACAAATAAGCTGCTCCTCCAACAGATCGCTGTTAAATGCTGACTTTTGACACTCGTAACACGTCCACGAAAATTCTTCAATGTCACTCTCTGAATGCTGCAATCAAAAGAAATTATTAAACAATATCTAGTAGGAAATATGTATAATGCCGAAATAAATTTCAATCTGGGTGGTCATGTTTTCAAATTAACTCAACTCCTTTACAATGTAATGGAGTTGAGGACACGGATAAAATGGGAGATCACTCTGGTAAAACAAATGATCAGCGTCTTTTTCAAGTGACAAGCAGTGTGGGACAAGCAGAATTGAGCTAAAACACATGCTTTCCAACCGATATTTTTCTTTTAGCTACCTTTTAAAAAAAAATTAATTTAGACAAATGTCTTATAAGTACTATTTCCTTTGTAGAGTATGGCCCAAGTGGGGAAAATATCATTTATTATGAATTTTTATTTTTTAATGTAAATAGGACAAAACAAAGCGTAATTCGCACATCTTAAAAAATTTCACCCGACTCTTCTTCGTTGCCCCTGAACAATGTTACTGATTTTACGGTGTTTTGAGGATGAACTGTTTACACTCTTGCATGTTACGATGACCGGATATCTCCATAATATACGTTGGATGAATATTTTCATCAGATAGTTTTGGGACATCGAATTTTCTTGCTGAATGGTTTGTGAATCTTTTTCGAAACCAGTACTTTTTGACATTCGACTCATAATAGAGCTGAGTTTATTGATACCAACAGGTTGTCGTTTGAACCAGGGGAATTTCCTTAGTGCTGATGGCAATATAGAAACGTGAATCTGAAGTGGAGCATCCTGCAGGACGCAGGTTCAGCTTGTTGATGGATACTGAACAATGCTCTCCATTTTGTTGCCTATTCTTTTTGGGTGCAAGTTACGGATATCCAAAGGATTATCCCCTTGGCATGTTTACGAAGCCTTTCTGTGGATTGAAAAAAGTCTTATGTTGTAAATTGATTTATAGTGTTTCGATTTTAATTGTCATGAACGAATTTGACAATCTGCGAATGTTCATATGGTTCTTCAGGGTCTTGGGAACGATCAGTATCTTTAGAATCACCAGGTTCGTAGTTAAAAAATCACCCTTCATTAATCCAGTCCGTAGGCAAGTGGATCTCATCACAAACTGGCAGTGGCGTCACCGTATCAGGTATTTTTGCAAAAAGATACCTTAACTTGTCGCATCTCTCCTTTAAAAGAGGATCACAGTCACAAATTTACGCGATTGTATACAATTTTTGACGGTGATCCTTCGATAAATGCACAAAACGTAAAACAATCCTTATGACTACCAAGTAACGTGTGATAAACTTATTTTTTTTAATTTTTAGTAAGAATTATTGAAGCGAGTAAATTTTCACATGTACATGAATATCTCCGCTTCCGCCAATTCACAGCGGTGTCACTTCACGGGATGTTTACAAATGACAAACACTAAGCATGTAATACTATTAAGCAATTATTTGAATGATTAACCACTAGACACAACACAGAATTAGTGCATCTAACAACTTCATCTCTTCACCTATTATATCACTGTATTTGACGCAACAGGTGGAACTAATATATGTTACGTCACATAAACTTCATAAACCCGTGAAGGTCTGGATTAGTCTATTGATCTTCTTGTAACCCACGCTTGTCGTAAGAGGCGACAACGGGATCGGGTGGTCAGTTAGGCTCCCTGACTTGGTTGACACATGAAATCGGTCCCCAATCAATGATCATGCTGTTGATCACTGGATTGTCTGGTCCAGGCTCGATTATTTACAGACCGCCGCCATATAGCTGGAATATTGCCGAGTGCGGCGTAAAAGTAAACTCACTCACTCACCTTAGGTATCGTATTCATATTGAACGAGTGACTGGGAGACAAAGGTTACTTGCGTTTGATTGATGTTGAAAGAAAAGGGAGAGTATAGGAAATTTGAATTTGCCAAGATTCCAAGACGGTGTTAGTATTTTGGTGTGGAATACCGTGTCGTTTAGTAAGGTTTCTGATTGCAGGAACAATCTCTGCTGTAACTCCTGACAGAGGCCTCATTCCGGTACGGTAGCTCAACCCCTTCATCACTTAGCATTTGGATGGATGTTGCCCGTAAAAAGGCAATTAGTGCTTTAAAGCCACCCTCAGCATTATTCCATCTATATTGCGGGGTATGTATATAATCGAGTCTGGATCAGACACTCCAGTGATCAACATCATGAGCATCTAGTCAGTGGCCAAAAGTCTGTTGGCAAAACATGTTATGTTACCGATGTTTTGAGCGGTAGGTTGACTTTGAAAGCGTTTCGCCGTGCTGATGAGCCACCAATGGTAATATGATTAAGGGTACAAATTTCGCAGGTCACTAAATATGCGTAGCACCTATTATTCCCGATTAAATACTGTAACGCCAAACAGGGGAGGGTATGCTATTCGATGCTCAGTCACTAAAATATGTGCCCTTGTGCATGCGAAAGTACAAGTGTAGAATCTACATAGTCCCATGGATAACCTGGTAGCGCGAGTTTGTTTACAAAACATGTCTAAATTCCGCCCCTAATTTGCATTACACTAACGAGTTCGCTTGTTCCTCCAAGAATATATATATTACTGAATAGTGATAAATGTAGGGAATACGTTTTAAGATAATTAACTTGTGATATTTAAACTATTGTGTTTGGTGTAATTCGCTTGAAATTAAGACTTCTATGCTTCGCGTCCAGCTCATAGCAAACGTCAGCCATATTGTCATTATAAAGTACTTGCTCCTGATTGGTCAGTTCCTGGGGAGGACCGCCCTTTAACCTCTGACCCGATATCCCTTGCATATTAATTAGTTTGCTAATGGCTAGACTTAGCATTGGTTTCTGAACCCGCGAAACTTATACTTTCCATTACTCCAAAACTTTTGGAACAACAACTAGAAACTTTGTATAAAAACGTACAAGATGTATTTCAACAACAATAATAATTTATTAATACTATAACATATTTACATATATACACTTAAAAAGACACTTGGAAAAAATACTCAAAGTCGGTGCATCCCGATCGTGACTACCTACATAGTACCAACTGACTGAATCCTAATCAGAAATTCCCCAAACTAATTCTTATAAGTCCTGGTTGACATTTACAATTTACTTATATAAAGTATTAAGTCCTGGTGACTGTTCTGCCATCCTCACCTCTTTACTTGTTATGGTGTCCTGCGTATTTAGTTGAAAAGCTGCTTATGCTTCCTGGAAAAATGCAGGCAGTTTTACGGTAGCGTCTCCCTTTTATACTTAATTACAATGACGTCACAATCGAAATGCACCCGCTGCAGTGACCATGCGAGAGATTCGTAAACAAAGATGGCGGCACCCATAAAACAACCTGTCATCCCTACGCTGTTTGACGATTCTAACAACTATAGGGCTTACGCACATATCGTATTCTGACAGTAAGGTAATAAAAGTAATCTCTATATACTTGAGAAATAGTTTAAGGATGTACAATCGCTTCCTAAAGTCATAATCTAACCTAGGACTCTACCGGAAGTATGATGGACATTCGATTCGACAGTTACGTGCAGAATGACGTAATGACCAGTACGTTTTAGAATAATATAATGATACCCTATTGCGCTTCAACTTCCCCCTCCCCTAAGAAAAACAAATGCGCCCTCGCATAGTATATAAATTCACATGGTCACCTACTTACAGGACGATCTGTCTAGATCATTTAATTCATAAATAAATACATACATAAATGCATGATATTCTTATGTCATATGTACAATTTGATCCAACATTAAATACAATTATAATTATTTACATGTGTATATATATATGTACAATAGGTCTGTCCTGTCTTTTACAATTTATATTTATCTATACTTGTATCTTTATATAACATATTTATAATATAAAGTTCAGCAGACTGCTGGCGTCCACCACTCCACTATTGATAGACTGATGTGGCGGACGCCATGGCCACCAGGGATCTCTTCTTTCCGTTCTTCCTGCCGATGTCTTCTGACCCCTGGTGGCCAGTTAAACAGATTATTAGGGTCTTTTCTCCGCCTTTCTTCCCTCTCCCTCCTCTCTGTCCTCTTTCTCCCTTCTTATTTTGTCCTCTTTCCTCTTTCTTTCATCTTTCCCTTCTCCTTTTCCCTTCGTTCCTTCTCTTCTTTCTCCTTTTCCATTCGTTCCTTCTCTTCTTTCTCCTTTTTCTTCCTTTCCTTCTGCTCTTCCTCTTTTTCCACTCTTTTCTCTTCCATCTGTTCCTCCTTTTTCTTCTCCTCCCCTTACACTTTTCTTTTCTCTTCCATCTGTTCCTCCTTTTTCTTCTTCTCCCTTCCACTTTTCTCTTCTCTTCCATCTGTTCCTCCTTTTTCTTCTCCTCTCCTTCCACTTTTCTTTTCTTTGTCTCATTCTCTTCCTCCTTTTCACTTTCTCTCCTCTGCCTCTTAAAATTCCCTGAGGAAGATGATGTTGATGATGATGTGGAGGACGAGGACGAGGAGGAGGAGCTCCGGGTATGCTTTTCCTCGTCCTCACTCTCCGAGGAGGAAACAAACTCCCTAGATGAGAACTTCCTGGTCGACCGGGGCCTCCTGACAGTTAGGTTATTATGTTTCTCCCTCTTGTGGAGGTTCAGGTCTGAAACCCGGTTGGCCGAGAAGTTGCATTCATTGCAAGTAACATCATTCCCGTGGCTTATTTTTATTGTAAGTAAGAGAAGAAGCCAGATATGCCGATCATTACCGTTGTTGTTCTGCGAGATTTTGTCAGTCATGGCGTCACGCTGCACAGAAACTTTGACGTATAAACATAGATCACATTACTGTATTGTATCTATTTTTAATTTGCTATTTCTTGCTACGATACTATTCCCATGTATGTTCTAAAAGTTGAGCCTATGCATGCTACGAATAGACGATTGGGTGTCTGAAATTTGAGAAAATGCTGCACAGTGTAAAGTTTCAATTTCTCTTTGTTTACATTTCAACAAGTGCTGTCTTTCGAGCACAGCGTTCGTTTTCATGCCCAATATCTTTCGTTTCATATCACATAGGCACTTGGTTTTAGTGACAAAGACCCTTTCTTATTTGATACTAAAATGTATGAGGAATCCAGTGATGCATATGTCGCAGTTGAATATGAAATATACATTGATGTAACAGGCGACTCAATATACCGGCCTCAAGCGAAACGTGATTTTGTAAACACTATCCAATGCAATATGGCAGAAAGCGCACTCAGGTGTTCATGTTGGTGTATTTCGGAAAACATCCCAACCGTAAAGACACTAAAATTCACCGCGGCAGGGATAAAAGCCTCAGTTGACTTGTTTGGAACATTTTCAGCAGGTGCCTGCTATTAAACTATTCTCCTCAATTAATTAAGAGTGACCGGACATGATTACATCATTCTAAAATTGTCATAGTAGCTGTCTTAGTCTTAGCTAAGAATTTGCTGAGAGAGTTTCATGATCCAGTCTTATCTAAAATCTTAGCTTAGCAAATGATTTTTAGACCTAAAAGATTATTTTTGTGCTAAGCAAATTTTAGACTTTAGAATTTCATGATCCCGGGGCCAGAAGATCAGCTGCCGATGTTACCTTGGTGGCGTGACGTCATATATCGCGATTCTGACGTCAAAGGTTCTCTCTCCGACCTTGGCCTGTGTATATCTGCTTGCACCATGAAGTGTTGACACAAGGAAAGTGAGGGAGCGAGTTAAAATTTAGCGTCACATCGGCAATATTTCAGCCATATCGTGACGAGAACAATTTCATTTATGTCAATTTTAAAATAAAAATCTAGAACGTCCAAAACTTGTCATCGAAGGACAGTAAAATCATGGCGGTACCAGGAATTTTTGAAAGGGGGTTCAGGGAGTTTCTTTTTAGTTCTGCTACAATTCCATAATGCAAAAGTAAATTTTTTCTTCACTCTATCAGAAAGCTTTGATTTTCCTACAAGACTCTGTACAATGTCTTTTTCTTGGGCTGACATCTGTGCCATTCATTTCATTTGCTCCGAGATCCTTTTTATTCAAAATTGTTTGAAGACGCTTTCTGTATCTCTGTCAGTTTCTTATGGTTTTGAAACTGAAATAGTTTTGACAGCTGTCTGTATGCCTTTGCTCTGTCTCTTCTAACCCTTTTCCGGCTAACTGTTCTTCTTCCATCTGCCCCTGAGTAAGTTTTCATTACAGGCTGGGGATGCTGAGTGGTGAATTCATTGAAAGAAATGATGACGATGATAGGCCTTTCTCCATTGTTTTCTCGGATTCTTCTTTTTCATAGTTGGTCATTTCATCTATCATCTTTACTTTCTTTGCTTCTTTCAGTTCATGCCATCGTTTCCTTTCTTTGTCTTTATACTGAGCAAGTGTCTCTGGATTTTCCCCTCTGTTTCTATCTATATCTCCTCATTCTCTCCTTTGCTGTTAGTGCCATGTCTCAGAAGCAAATGGACCATCCACAAATGCCACACAAATATCGGTCGAACTCAAATCCCGTTCACATCAATATTTTCCCCAAATATTGCCTGCACATTCCAGATGATATTGTCGTCTACATGCCGAACAAAAATGCCATAAGGAACCATCACTGTCAGTAAGAACTGTTTTGTCGGTACAAATAAGCTGCTCCTCCAACAGATCGCTGTTAAATGCTGACTTTGACACTCGTAACACGTCCACGAAAATCCTTCAATGTCACTCTCTGAATGCTGCAATCAAAAGAAATTATTAAACAATATCTAGTAGGAAATATGTATAATGCCGAAATAAATTTCAAT